CCTTCTCCCAATCCCGATCTTCCCTCTTCCCCTCAATCTCGACTGCTATCCTCCTCCGTTGTAATCACAACCGGACTTCTCCCATCCTCTCCCCCGATTTCCATTCATATGCCCCTCTTCCCAATCATGACTCGATGTAGGTTTCCTCCCCCTCCCTTTCACTACTTGCGAGCTCTCTCCCGAACCAAGATAAAAATAGAAGAAAAAACAGAAAAAGAAACAAAGCAAACTCACCTTGATCTGCCATTCTTGCGTGCGCTAACAACCACTTGTCCTTGCACTCCTCGTTTMACAACCACTTGTCCTTACACTCCTCGTTCCTTCCCTGGCCGTCCTTCGTTACGTCGCTCACACTCTCGCTCGGACAACCACCTCCTTCAATACCACGCCCTCTTTCCGCACACTTCTCAGATCCCGACTTCATGCATACGGTCTCTCTTTCCCCATCCTTCGAATCCTCCCTCTCCCTCTCTCTCTCTCTCTCTCTCTCTCTCTCTCTCTCTCTCTCTCTCTCTCTCTCTCTCTCGTGCGGGAAGTCAAAACCGGCGGGGGTACGATGCAAGCTGACCAACTGGCCGATGTGTCGAACGCAGGATATTGAAACCGGCGGGCGTACGATGCAAACTGGCGAGGCAATGCAGAAACCGGCGGAACACCGGGTCAACTGCCTGAATTCGCCCGGCGACGAGCGCCGCATCTCAAATCTTCAAAGGGCAAAAAAAAAAAAAAAAAAAGGTACCCCGATGACAAGCGGCGGCGCGGGACATCTGGAATCTCGGCTGTGCCTGCTGTAAGATCCACTGCGTTTCGATTCACCCGCTGTCCCGTGGGCCCGCCCCTTCCCCGCCGCCTTTCCCAACACCGCCAAGCGAGTCTCCGTGGGAGCGTCACACGAGACCTGCTACACGCTTTAAGAGTGTTAAGGAAAACAGAAAACCCTGTCATTTGACTCGTTTCATTGTTAATTGAACTTAATTCTCTCCCTCTGAAGTCCATTGAAGCTAACCTGGCTGATAGTCATCACACTTCATTATAAAGATTTTCAATTTCAACCTGGAATACTGACAGCATCAGCCCGCTCAGCTTACAGGCTTGCGCCTGCAAAAAGTCACTTTTCTACGACTTTCCAGGTTCCTACCTGAGGCTAACTATTGCATTCCCCCTGAGTCTAATTATTACATTCCCCCTGAGGATGACGGCGTGGCGGCAGTGGAAACAGGTCAGGGTGCCATCATCCCCCGGCTTAAGCAATTGTCTATATAGTTTGTGCTCTTTAGTGTGCTTGTGTACTCTTTCAGGGTGCAATGTGTACGTGTGAACACAAATGTGTGATACATGTGGTTTTCACCATGTAACAGTGAACCTAATTATTACATTCAACTTGAAACGTACTACTGAAGATACCACACGATGTCAGGTAAAGTAGCCGTGGACGTAACATATTTAGTCAAGACCTGCACTATAACCCACCTCCTGATGCACTGCCTAGCTATCCTACTTCTGGGACTACCACGGCCCAGAGGACTAAGTCCCATACTTCTACCTTCTCGAATCATGTATAAAAGAAAAAAAGAAAAAGCTAAAAAGAAAAGGAGAAAAAAAAGAAAAAAGAAAAAAAAAAACGACGGAACTGCTACCTTATCTGTTATGGTACCGGTACGGCGGTACCCTATCCACAGGAGTATGGTCCTGGCTCCACTACTGACCACACGGCCTTGCACAATACATAAAAAGTACGGCGGTGTATCGTCCCATATTCGATTTATGCATGTCATCCTTGCGCAGGGGTCTGGTCCCACCTGTGTTGTTGAGAAAACTCAACGCGGAGTTTTCTACGACGAGCGACAACGTTCGACAGGATGTGGCCGTCGACAGGGCTGCGATCCCACGGTTGGAAGTATTTCGAAATGTTGATGTCCTACCGGGTGATTTGAATGAATTTTTTTTTGTAGACTTCGAATGGACTCCCTCAATGGAGGGAAGGCGGCATGGGCAAGCGCCACGGAGTTGAGAAAGCAGACCTCCACGGTCGAGGGTAGGTTTCTCAACATGGTCGATGAGAAATTTTGCGGTTTTTGGAATTTTTAGTCGCCGTCTGCTGTTCCCCGTTTCTCGTATACTGTGTCAGGCACTTCGTCAGTGCAATGAAAGCCGTAACTGTCGTGCGTGGGCTCTATAAGGCCTCGCTCCGTTGCTCACCACATGCACAAACAAAAGAAAAAAGAAAGTCGATGTATGTTTCCGTGTTCTTGGCTATATTCATTGCTCTTTGGACCCACTTCGACGTCCTCGTGTTTCCACATCATGGGGCCTCGCTGCGCTACTCTCGACATGCACAAAAGACAAAAATCATGGGGGTGTATCTTTGCATAATCTAGGGGAAGATTCACTCTCTTTTTGCACATTTCGGGAGTAGTGCAGCGAGGCCCATATGGTACTTCAAGATACGCAGAATCCTCGACAGAAACCACTATTTTCGCATCATTTTCTTAAAATGAATAAAAACTGCTACGAATAAATCTGAAATGCATTTTTCGGATTTAAAAAATGCGGTAAATGGTGTCACACCGTTGAGGTTTCTCAACTCAACGGCCGTAGGTGGGACCAGACCCCAGGGGCCATGCTAATCTTCTCTGTACCGTTCCAATTTTAACGGATGTCCCGAAGGACTATCGTCCCATATTCTTGCAGAAGATTCGTTCTCATTTTGCACATTTGGTGAGTAGTAGAGCGAGGCCGTATGTCCCCTCTCCCTTGGCCCTTGTCGCCTGCCCAACTGTTGGTACCGGCCGTTTGTTCCTTCCCTTCGCCGTTGCCGTCAACGGGTTTTGACCGACTGCTTTCCCCTACAAGGCTATCATCTCACGTCTGCGAATAACCGGTTCTAAACTCATGGTAGACTCATGGTAAACTCACGACGGGACACTCATTGTAAGCTCATCTTAAGCTGGTGGGATAAGCGAAAGGTAACCTCACGGCTAACTCACAATTCGCAATCAAATGATGCGTAAATCAATTCTCAAAGCACATCACACAAACGGAATCAATTCTCAAAGCACCTCTCACAAACGGAATGAATCAATTCTCAAAGCACCTCTCACAAACGGAATCAATCAATTCTCAAAGCACCTCTCACAAACGGAATCAATTCTCAAAGCACCTCTCATAAACGGAATCAATTATCAAAGACTCGAATCAGCTCTCACAAACGGGTTCTGACGGAATAACGATTCCGGAAGGGAGTCTGAGCTACCTATATATAGTATCTGTCGTTAGCTCTGCCAGATTCTTTTTTGATTTTTCTTTTTTTCCTTTCAAATGGCCCGATGGACACACGTTTCCGATATTAAACTGGTCAGAAGAGATACTACACTTGATCTTCGCCAAAAGACCGATAAACCCGGATAAAGGTATAGCCCTTCCAGATTCTCCAATATTCGTTGCATGGCGACACCTTTTGCCGTCGATCCGTATACTCATCAGAAAATATTCGTTCCATGGTGGCACCTTTTGCCGTTCAAAGATCTATTTCTGGGCGGTGATCCAAGTCGAGAGACGAAGAATGCGACGGCGATGCAGATCGAGAGCCCAGGGGAGTGCCTCAGGGGGGGAGCAGGAAAGAAACGAACAGGCAGAGATTACTCAGACCAGTAGACTCTCCTGACACGACCACGGCCTCGTCAAAAATCGGGCCAACCCCCCTGCGGACGGGACTACATCTTCTGGCGGTCAAATTGCGCGTCCCATAGACCAACTGAAAGAAAAAAAGAAGAAAAAAGAGAAAGAAAAGAAAAGAAAAGAAAAAACATGAGAAAAACAAACAGACAAACAGGCAAATGGGACAACGGGAGGTTGGATGGTAACTGCCCATCTCAGGGTGCACACAAAAGCTAACTGACTGTTGATATGTCTCACTCGACCGATCGATCGATCGATCAAGAGCCCCACTACTGATTAGTGATATCTTTCTTGGCCGATCGATCGATTAAGGAACGATCGATCAAAAGCCCCCACTACCGATTAGAGATATGCTTCTTGGCCGATCGATCGATCAAGAAGCAATAGACCAAGAGTCCTACTACTGATTAGTGATACGTTTCCTGGCCGATCGATCGATCGATCAAGAACCCCATTACTGATTGTTGATATGTTTCTTCATCGACCAATCGATCGGTCGGTCGATCCGTCGATCGATCGGTCAGCCGATCGAAATCAAGCGCCAAACGGTGCTCAGAGTAAGAGCTGATTGGCATCTCGTAACCGATATGTGACGCGGCACCCTAACCCCATATGCGCCCATCAGCTGATAGGTTCCATTGACCACCCGATGTCAGACTGCAAATGGGACCGGCCGTCGAACAGTTTGGTCTCTACCAGCGGCTGTTGCTGACAGTTCTGCCAACGCGTCCCAGAGGACCTTGTAGCAGAAGAAGTACTGCTCCATCGTCTGGATCATGCCTGGCCGTTGTTGCCGCAGCCACCTCGCCTCCTCCCTCATGTTAATGGCGGACAGATCTCCGCTCAAAACCTTTCGAAGTGCTCGATCGACGGCACAGAAAACTCCTGTCCGCCCGCTCCCTGCAACGCAATGAACACCGAACGGACCATTCGAGACAGCTGAGGTACGAATCTGGCGAAGTAGCAATCGAATGGACCGAGTTGATGACGGAACTCCTTGATCAGGCCAGTCGTGGAGGTGGTAATGTTCAACAAGCAAGGGCTCTTGCTCTTCCTCTTGCTCTTGGTCGTGCCTTTGCTGAGGCGTCTGTGGTCTGCGCTCATCCTGAAGTGCAGTGCCTGCAGGACGAGGAGGAGGAGGCAGAGATGGAGGAGACGGTTGATGTCTAGAGTGAGGAGAGGTAGAAGGAGCAGGTTGATGTCTTGAGTGAGGAGAGGTAGAAGGAGAGGGTTCAGCTGGCGAGGGCGGAGACGGAGAAGGAGGGGGTTGACCTCGAGAGGACGGAAACGGACACGGCTTTGATCGCGATAGAAAGGGAGGGGGAGGAGGAGGAGTGCACAGAGGTCCAGAGGGAGGAGAAGGAGAAGGGTGTGATAGCGCAGAAGAGTGAGAAGGAGAACGAGAAGAATCACCAGGCGGGCCACGAGGTGAGCGAGGAGGAGGAGGAGGAGGACAAGGAGGAGAAGAAGGAGATGGTATGATGAGAATATCTCTTCGCGTAATTGCCGGATGCAAAAACGTTTTGGACATAGTTTTGATGACCACGCGACCAAAGCTGCAGGACTCCCCTTCCTCATCAGGAAAGTACGCTTCGCCAGGCTTACACTCCAAATCTTCCATCAACATTATCACAGCTCGACAACCCAGTTGTTTCACCTTCGTCCAGAAGTCCAAAATAGTCCAGGGCAGCGGAGCTTGTGTTGCAATATACGTTGGAAGGCTGATCGTACTACAGTAGCTCTCCCTCTTAACATCCACACCCCCGTTGCCCTGCCTCTTCCTCTTATCACTGAAGCCACCACGATCGCCACCTCCTTTCACCCTCCCTTCCTCTCCTCCCTCCCCTCCTCCTCCTCCTCCTCCTCCTCCTCCTACGCTCTGCAGGAGCTCGGTGGACTCGCTCCAGTCGCCCCTGATGTAGCTGGCATTGATGTAATCTGATACAACCTTCGAGTCCTCGTCCATTACCAGCTCGACACGTGTCCTGTCGAAAGGTACAATGTTCGAATACCTGTTCTTGCTGACATTGACAGCGAGCCCTCCCACCAAGCATTTTCTGGCCGCAGCGTGAGGCTCCTCGTACTCTGTCTCCTCCTTCAGCGCTTTGTACTCCTCAAAGAAATCCTTGTTTTTATCTTTCGACCTCCATTTCTCCTCCATGGCCTGACAAGCTCGACGACACCAGAGGAGCTGGCTCTCGGAGAGCTGCACCTCCATCACCACCAGCTGCTTCTCCTTGTTCCCTTCTAGCAGCTGCCCTTCCTCGCCGGCCATAGGTACATCCATCCCCTGTTCTTGCTCGCCAGGCTTCCCTTCCACCACCTGGCCTTCGCAGATCGGTACGCCCATGACCGGTTTCTCGTCATTACCCCCTTCCAGCTGCTCAAGGATGGACTCAACGGTCGACAACGTGGGGGAGAGAGTGCCACATCTCTGACTGGGACTGCCTCCAGAGAGCAAGTCCATATTGAGGGCTGGAACATTTGCAGGTTTCTTGTACCCTTTCGGACAAGGCTTCATCGGTCTTCAGCTGTTCTTCTGCCTCCGGCCAACTCCCTTTTCGGCTGTTTCGTCTTCCTCAGAGAGCACGCCTCTCTTCCGCCACGCCCCCTTAGCTCGTTTTCCTCTTTCCTCACTTGTTCCTCTTGTTGGCTCGATCGGTCGTTCGTCGGCTGCTTCCTTGCGCTGCTTTTCTTTACTACCCTTCTCTGTGCCTCGGTAACTGCTTCTGCTCGTTTGTGCCCACCCTACCTTCGTCCGTTTTTCTCTCTTCAGTCCGGCGGTTCATCCGTTCTTCCCTCTCTCTCTCTCTCTCTCTCTCTCTCTCTCTCTCTCTCTCTCTCTCTCTCACACACACACACACGCATTCCTGGCCTCTTCTCCTCTGTCCTCACCTTTCTTCTCTCATGTATACTTCCTAGGTCTCTCCTTCCGCTTCTCTCGTCTCGCTGCTTCTTCTTCTTCTTCTTCTTGTCCTTCGATCGTTCGCTCCCTCGTGCGTATCTTCCTGTCAGTTCTGCCCTCTTCTTTCTCCTCTACTGCATTTCCTTTTGCTCTTCTTGTTCCTCCTTCCCAATTTGTTTCTTCTTCCAGCTACACGATCTCCTCTTTCCCACCTAGTCTTTTGTTCTACAATTCTCCTCCTGCGTAGTTTCCTTGTTGTTCACAATTGTCAGAGAAAATCGTCCAGAGTCGTGACTACTTTTGCCGCCCTCTGCGTTTCACTATTGGACCTCCTCATACGACTCTCCCTCACCCCTCCTTCCCTCCCCTCCCCTCCCCTCCTCTCCTCTCCCCTCCCCTCCCCTACGCATTCGGGTGACGGGACCACAGTCAACAGAACCCTTCTTCCTCGTCAATGGTGTGCTTACCCGTCTTCCCCGATATGGGGCTCGCTGCACTACTCTCGACATGCACAAAAGGCAAAAATCATGGCCGTGCATCTTTCCATATTCAAGCGGAAGATGCACTCTCGTTTTGCACATTTCGAGAGTAGTGCAGCGAGGCCCTATATCAGGTACAGCCAAAATGAGGGTGCGTTGTGCTCGGGGGAAGACGGTCGCCGGCGAAACGACTGCGCGGAACGGCCTTCTTCGAACACTCGTCAAATGGTGTTGACGATATGGAAAACACCGAAAATGGCGGGTGTAATTTGCTGGCTAAATGCAAGAAAGTCCAACGAGTATTTCCGCAGATCGTGGCTCGATGCATTCCCCATTTTCACACTCGGCGACTGGTCCAACGAGTAGGCTCGTAGCGCATCGTCGCATCCAACGGCACACATCTCACCTTTCGTTAAACCTGAAAGATCTTGCCGCGTGACCAAATCAAATCGAATTGCGAATTTATTTATTTATTTATTTATTTATGTATTTATTTATTTATTTATTTATTTATTTATTTATTTATTGTGAAATTTCGGTGAGTAGACCAACACCTTTTCGGAAAAGATTTCATCCCATGCGAGGGGTAAGGTGTCACGAAGGGAGGGTATTGGCGTTTGATCCCCGTCCAGTGAACATGTACTCACAGCGGCCGTAAAAGCGGCCACATACATGCAGGAGAGTGTCCTGAAAGCATATAAAATGAGCATAAGGTGACGCCCACATCTGACCTTTCGTTAAATCTGAAAGATCTTTCCTCGTGACCAAATCAAATCAAATTGCGAAATTGTGTTGTGAAGAGTCTGTAGACCAACGCTTTTTCGGACAAGATTTCATCCCATGAGAGGGATAGGGTGTCACGGAGGCAGGGTATTAGACGGAGCCTCCACCCAGGTGCTAGCGCTGTCTGCTCGTACCAGCACCACTAGCATGTGGGGGCGTGTTTTGTTATTAAAAAAAAAAAAAAAAAAAAAAAAGAAATTATGAACTAACGCCATTGACTTATTTTGGCTGTAGTTAATGCCGGTCACATGCGGTCCAAAAAAGTCATACCCGGTTCAATGGACTTCGCGCCAGGCACTAGTCATAAAACGGGAAAAACAAAAAGATCTTCTCTCCCCGTACCTTTCGAATTCTAACGGATGTCCCAAATGATGTCCTGATTGACCATTTTCGCTTCAAACATTTAGGAGACACATGTGAATTCATGTGGACTTGATAGTAGACCAAATCCCCAACTTTGACGCGAACAGAACACCCGGTCATTATAGCTGCATTTTGGTTACCTGCCAGTCTATATGCGGCGACAACGACCACGCGTTCTATTGGGGTAAAGACCGTTTGACGCACCCATTCGCTTCACTTGCCAGACCACCTCCACACAAGACATGGAGAGTCGGAGACCGTTATCCAGGAAACACGGCATACAAGAGACGGCGTCTTCTCCGTGTGGGAGCAGCTGTTTGCCATTTATTTATTTTTTTTCTCTTTTTCTATTTTTTTTTTAAGTCCATGGTGTTGTAGAGGCCAGTCACTGAGTACACACTGATCACCTGGAGCACTAGGCCGTGGGTGTCCTGGAATATGAGACCACCTCCCATCCCTTTTTTTTTTTTNTTTTTTAAGTCCATGGTGTTGTATGAGGCCAGTCACTGAGTACACAGTGATGACCTGGAGCACTAGGCCGTGGGTGTCCTGGAATATGAGACCACCTCCCATCCCATCCTCACGTCAATACTCCTAGCGCACCCCCTATCCCACTATCCTACCTCAGTGTGACCAGCACTCAGGACCATTACCCCTTGGGCGGAACAGCAGTGATAGGCACCAGGGGACAGGGCTGATAGGTTGCAAATTAGCTCGCAGTCGTGTTGGAGAAGGTCTTTATGTTGTCAGCGGACGACAACATATAACAGTCGAGGCGGCGGTTACAAAAACGATGGAGGTTTTTTTTTTTTTTTTTTTTTTTTTTTTTTGGAAAGCAGAGCACTAGGGAGGACGTCATCACACGTGGGCTTTGCGGAGTGCAAGTGGGGAGGCGGTTACAACCACTGGTGTATCTTTCGATGTTCTAGGGGAAGGCCCCACGTGCACTCCGCAAAGCCCACGTGTGATGAATCCAGGGAATTCCGAATGTGAGGCGGTACTAACAGTAGCCCTATCTTAAATGTATCACACCGTATTTACGGCCAAACCTGGATGTATGTGGCCACAAATACGTCCCGAGATAACTCAAGAAGTCCGACCGTTAGTATGCCCTTACTTCCATACTGCCAGTTGAGTTATAGCTGTAACCGCCTCCCCACGTTTAGTCCCCGAAGTCCAGGTGTGATGGCCTCCTTAGTGTGTTGTGTTGTGTGTTGTCTTGGGCAGATATCATAAGAACCTTCTTCCGCACGACTGTGCGCCTCCGCGTGTATGTATCTGAACGCACTTACGTCCACAGCTCAGTCGAAAGACTCCTACTGTGAGAACCTACTGTGAGAATGCTCTCAGTAGAAATAGAAAAAGGTCGTGTGCATAACCCCCTCTCTACTCTCATACGAACTGAAGATAGGCCACGTGCAATCCGCTGCTTTTTTTTTTTTTTTTTTTTTTTTTTAACCATGTTGTCATTTCATTACAAAACAATAGTGCAACCGGGGCCGGGGTCCCCACAATTCCACCCGGAGTAACCTCTGGCAGCCTTGGCCAGTTTCGCTTGCAAACGAAAGTCCAAACAACTTACTAATAACCAAAGAATTGGGGGTTATTGATACTATACCTACCTGTCCCTACTCCCATCTATCTATGGCTAACATACGCCTGCTGGCCGTTTCCTATTTACACAGGCCTACTACGGCCTGTACCCGGCCTAGTTCGGCCGGGGGAACCAAGTTCCTCTGGACTATTATGACACTCTCCCTCCCTACCCAACCCGTCTGCAGTCTACTGAGACTGCCCATTGGAACCGAGTGCCCTGGTTCGTCACACCCCCCGTCTCCTGTCTACCCTACGCGTCCCTCTATTGTCCTTCTAACCAATGTGATATCACTAGCCTATTCTCTCTTATCTATGCCAACCCACCAGGCATTGCCCAGGTTTCTGTGAACCACTTTTCCCCTGCGTTCCTGTTTCCTTTCAGAACTTTTCTTCGCCAGACAGTCTCCGCTCGGATCCCTGTTTTCAGATGCTGTTTGAACAGTCTCTCGGCGTAAATCTCATCCAATTCTTGTCCCTGAAAGCTCCTTCCATTCCTGTCCATCCAAATCAGCCACATCATGATGGCTCAGCCCACCTGCGCTATGTACCCCCATCCTTTTCCAGGTGAGATATATTCCGGCGGAAAACCGTGAACCACCCAGCTCACACCCCTGCAGGAAGTGTCCCCAGACATTCTGGCCCAGTGCTGGAACCCTCAGTTCCACCACTTCTGAGATCTTGGGCAGTCCCACCAGAGGTGTGTCATTGTCTCAAATGGCCAGTTACATCGATCACAGTTCAATCTAATATTCATTCCCCTGTTGCTCAACCAGCGGGCCGTAGGTACCGCAATGTGTGACTGCAGCCATAGTAAAGATGCGAACTTCTRAGAGGGCAGTAAGCTCAGCTGATTCCATAGTTTAGTCAGATTTCCCTCCGACGRTGTTTGYAGTGCTGGMTGTGCTCRTTCCCATTGGTCAATCAACTTGGTGAGCAACCTGTGCTTGGGATTAAGTCTTGTGCTTACTAGCTTAGTTGACAGGTGCTTTATATCAAATATGGTTTCCACACTGGCTTTCTACCMCCMCATTAGTGGGTCYATTCGCATCCYCTGTTTAGCCTCACCCCCTGCTACGAGCTTGTAAACAACCGGTTCCCCTCTTCCTTCAAGCATGATCGCTCTCACCCTGACTTCTTCTAGCTCTCTCAGGCCTAGTCTGGTGGTGGTTCTCTGTAGCGCTAGGATATCACTATGGTCATTGGACCTACTATACTCTTCTACCGTACATCTCCCACTATTATCCTCGTCCCAGCTCTTGAGCAAAACAAACGTAGAGGTGCCTTGCGTTGATACCGTTTTCATCCACGTGCCTGGGGGGTTTATTCCTTCCGGGCCCAGCAGCTCCTTCCACTCCTCCGGTATGGCTTCAATGAGCAAGCTTCTTCTTTCTTCCTGCAGCGGTAGCTGTTTCAGTTTCACCCGGAGCTGGGCTGGGGACTGCCACCCCTGCAGGAAGTGTCCCCAGACATTCTGG